ATCAAATTTGATGAAAATAAAATTTTGGAATAAGATAGAAATTTTTAGAAAGATTTTAAGAAAAATTGATGAAAAGTTTGAAGCAGTTAATATTAAAATCAAACTTTTTACTCAATTTTAGAATTAAAAAATAAATAAATAAAATAACCCTTATTTCAAAATACCCAAAATTCGGACCCACAAAGTAATTATAGTTGGGTATTTGTAATTAGTTCAAATTATAAGCAATCTTACAAATCAAAGAAAGCAATGGAAACAATTATCTTAAAACTAACAAGAAGACAAACACTCAAACCCCATAACCTTTGACAAACCAAGACAAATTACGAAAAATGTTTTCCAACACACAAGAATTGATGATTAGGTTTTGATATTGACGGAAAGGGTTAAAATTTTCTGAGGTAGCGTAGCAGGTTTATGAGGACAAAACAAAAGGGCTAAAGCTAAGTGACCGACGAGGACAATGAACACGCGAACAAGTCTACGGACCCAAATTTATGATCTTCGAAGATTTTTTGAAAATGTATAATTGAAATTGAATTTGTATATTATGAGATTTACGTATAAAATAAGAGTAATTATTGGATAGTTTAGAAGCATGATCACATAATATTTTATAGTATTATGATTAGTAGAGAAGGCAGAGTATTATGATTTTGTATTTGGTGATTAAGGAATATAAAGAGGCATGGTAAATGATGATCGTTAAAAAAGTATAAATATGTGATATTCTAGAAGTACTTAATAATTTCTCGTAAAATAAATTTAAATCATAAGAAGATAAATCTGAATAATTCTTAAATAGTTCAATATAAATTTATAATATTATTACTATATATATATAGACGATTGTTTGACTTCATTTTTTTTTAAATTTTTTGGTGGCTTTTCTAACTAAAAAAAAGTTGATTTTTTTGACTTTTTTTTTTGTGTAAAAAAAATTAAAAAGTCAAAAAAATTAACTTTTTTGGCACGTCGTCAAAAGATATCGTCATGGCATATCTTTTTTATGGTTTTCTCTCAACCTTTATTATTGTTTATCAAATTTTAATTCTTTTTTTTACGAGAGAGAACGGGAGAGATTTGATTTACTGTTTATCAAATTTTGATTCCTTTTTTTTATGAGAGAGAAGGAGAGAGAGATTTATGGCAGAAATGAAATAGTTGGTGCTTGCTGTAAAAAAAAAAAAAAAAACTAGAACCCTAGCCTCAATGAAATACATATTGCATGTCTAAAAGTCAAAAAAACCAAAATTAGCAAGGCCGGCCTGGCTGGTATGCATCAGCAGCCAAGTACCGAGCCACATCTCATCACCATAATCTCAACAATCAAACAAGGGACTAAACTTTCTCTATCCTATACATACAGTCAAATACAAGAAAGGCATCTTAAATAATATTGTCTACACCCAAAAAACGACGAAGCAAAGCGTCAGAACTAACTCACTGGTCCCTTCCAACACTGAGAATCCACTGAGCAAGATGAGTTAAATATGGCTCCGCTTGAGAACTGCTGCTCAAAATTGGCCCGAGACTCAAGCTCAGAATTAAATTCCCTCTCAAATTTCCTGCAGATTATTCACAGCATATTAATGAGAGAGAGAGAGAGAGACAGTTGCACTAGTGATTTATCCTTACAGATCAGAATCAGTGACTGCTGCATTTTCAGTGGCTAACTTCAGTGACTGCTGCATTTTCAGTGGCTAACTTCAGTGACTGCTGCATTTTCAGTGGCTAACTTCAGTGACTGCTGCATTTTCAGTGGCTAACTTCAGTGACTGCTGCATTTTCAGTGGCTAACTTCAGTGACTGCTGCATTTTCAGTGGCTAACTTCAGTGACTGCTGCATTTTCAGTGGCTAACTTCAGTGACTGCTGCATTTTCAGTGGCTAACTTCAGTGACTGCTGCATTTTCAGTGGCTAACTTCAGTGACTGCTGCATTTTCAGTGGCTAACTTCAGTGACTGCTGCATTTTCAGTGGCTAACTTCAGTGACTGCTGCATTTTCAGTGGCTAACTTCAGTGACTGCTGCATTTTCAGTGGCTAACTTCAGTGACTGCTGCATTTTCAGTGGCTAACTTCAGTGACTGCTGCATTTTCAGTGGCTAACTTCAGTGACTGCTGCATTTTCAGTGGCTAACTTCAGTGACTGCTGCATTTTCAGTGGCTAACTTCAGTGACTGCTGCATTTTCAGTGGCTAACTTCAGTGACTGCTGCATTTTCAGTGGCTAACTTCAGTGACTGCTGCATTTTCAGTGGCTAACTTCAGTGACTGCTGCATTTTCAGTGGCTAACTTCAGTGACTGCTGCATTTTCAGTGGCTAACTTCAGTGACTGCTGCATTTTCAGTGGCTAACTTCAGTGACTGCTGCATTTTCCATATTTGGTGAAACCTGCTGGCGGGGAAAAAGGTACTCCTTAGAGAAGGATGATGAATACATGGGAGCTCTGTCATTTTCAGCCAAATTGTCACCAAGGTGGGAATGAGAGCAACCCCTCTTCCCTTCAAGCTCTATCACCACGCCCTTGTTGAGATCAATGACCTCCAAACATCTATTTGAACCATTAACATGATCTTCAAAACTAGGTATGTTTTCTTTTTTGTTGTCATGAAGTGAATGAGGGTCATTCTCAAGAGGGCGCCTGTTGGCCCTTCCATGCTCTTTCGTCATTGGCCTCTTGCTCTCTCCACCTATTTCATTTTTCAATATCCCTTCTGTTCTTTTCCTTTCTGCCTTCAAACTAGAATGCAGGCCTAGTTTTTTTGAATTATGTCCCCCATCAATAAGTTTACTAGATCTTGAGCAATTTTCTCTGCACAATTGAGGAGATGCATCAGTCTGACCTTTTAAAGTTTTCCCTGGTAAATTTCTCGAGGTTGCAGATGTGCTGGACATTTTTGGGGAATTTTTATCTAGCTCTTGATTCTGTGCTGCATATCTGCGAATGGCATTCAAAGAAGGATTTATCACTCCATTTTGCAAAGAACCAAGCTTTGTATCCCCATTCTCTAGTAAAATTCCAGTAGTTTGAAGTTTATCCGGCCTTTTTCTGTTTGTCACCCCACTGATATTAGGCAAAGCACTCTGCGCTCCAAAATGAAACTGGAAATCTCTACCTATCGTCGACAACATAGCTTTGTCCTACCAAAGCAGATAAGCTTTACTTGATTGAAATACTGACTTCACAAAGTAATACTCATAACATAGAACTAAACAAATTGGAAGAAAATAAAACTACCTCATCAAAGAACCCAATCCTTGGTGATGGCATTCGGAGACCCGAAGGTTTGAAATTTCTGGTCGATTTTGCAAGATCATTAGCAATTCCCCTAACTACTTCAAGACATAGATTTGGAAACCTTGTTTGATGACTTTCTTGATCATCGAAACATTCATCATGTGGGAAACTCTGAAAATTTAATGCTTGGGTGGCATCATTTCCTAAACAAGCTCCTCTGGAAGTACTGGTATGAAAACTGACCTCTAAACAGTTGGAGCTTTGGTGGGCAGTTGATGATGATTCTGAGGACCATCCATCAATGGAGCTAGCAGGTGATTCATAAGAAGAATGGTTTGACATGGACAATGAAGGGGTTGACAAACCAGGATTTTCCAACACAATTTTGTCTCCTAGTGAGCACCTGAGAGGAGTCTTGGAGGTTGAACCAGAGGCAGCAAGACTACTTTTCCTGGAATCTGCTTTTCTTCTCGAGTTTGAGGAAGATTTCAACGACGAAGCACTACTGGTAGTGACAGAAACTGAAGAAGATGATTCAAGGGATGTTGTAGAGCTAGTGGAACATGAGTTTCCCAATCCAGATTTCTTGGATAATATAAAATCTTTCCCTGTAACAGTCAATGCATTTTGACGTAAATTCCATTAGAAGTGGAAGAAAAGAACTTATAATAAATTATATGAAGGTTCTTACCAGATCCAAGGGTTGCAACTTTATTTCCCATTTTGACATGGTCCGCACCTAAGGAAATCTTTTTTCTTTGTCCTACTGACGCCATGTTCATCTTGCTTAATATCTTGGGTGACTTATGAGGAAACGAATTAGCTTCACCATTCTTTTTAGCATCCTGTATTGATCAAATTAATTTGAGTTAGTTAATTCATATCCTAGAGTTAAGTTTCATTTCCTTACACAATCTTGTGTCTACATATCCAACAAGTTAGACTACCAAATGCTGGACAAAAATTGTAGCTTGTAAGTAACAAATAATAATACTCATAACATAGAACTAAACAAATTGGAAGAAAATAAAACTACCTCATCAAAGAACCCAATCTTTGGTGATGGCATTCGGAGACCTGAAGGTTTGAAATTTCTGGTCGATTTTGCAGGATCATTGGAAGAATGGTTTGACATGGACAATGAAGGGGTGGACAAACCAGGATTTTCCAACACAATTTTGTCTCCTAGTAAGCACCTGAGAGGAGTCTTGGAGGTTGAACTAGAGGCAGCAAGTCTACTTTTCCTGGAATCTGCTTTTCTTCTCGAGTTTGAGGAAGATTTCAACGACGAAGCACTACCAGATGGAGAACAAGAAGCTGATGAATCATTACTGGTAGTGAGAGAAACTGAAGAAGATGATTCAAGGGATGTTGTAGAGCTAGTGGAACAACATGAGTTCCCCAATCCAGATTTCTTGGATACTAAATCTTTCCCTGTAACAGTCAATGCATTTTGATGTAAATTCCTTTAGAATTGGAAGAAAGGAACTTTTAAATTATGTGATGGTTCTTACCAGATCCAAGGGTTGCAACTTTATTTCCCCTCTTGACATGGTCCGCACCTAAGGAAATCTTTTTTCTTTGTCCTACTGACACCATGTTCTTTTTAGCATCCTGTATTGATCAAATAAATTTGACTCAGTTAATTCATATCCTAGAGTTAAAATTTCATTTCCTTACACAATCTTGTGTCTACATATCCAACATGTTAGACTACCAAATGTTGGACAAACTTGTGATTTGTAAGTAATAAATAATAATGCAACCTTTCAATTTGAGCAATCGAGATGAACACTAATGCATACTAAATACTAAAAGGAACTATATAATCTCATTGTCTTCGATTTATACATGCCTAGACAAACTTGTAACTTGTAAGTTATAAATAATAATGCAGCCTTTCAATTTGAGCAATCGAGATGAAAACTTATGCATACTAAATACTAAAAGGAACTATATAATCTCATTGTCTTCGATTTATACATGCCTGGACAAACTTGTAACTTGTAAGTTATAAATAATAATGCAGCCTTTCAATTTGAGCAATTGAGATGATGAACACTTATGCATACTAAATACTAAACGGAACTATATAATCTCATTTTCTTCGATTTATACATGCCTGGACAATTTGTGGACGGACAACCTCCTTAACTCTTTTTGATCCTTGCATATAGACACTTTGCCTTCGAGAAGTTGGTGTGGATTTCACCTGATATTTAGATACAAGAGAACTTAATTTCTCAATAAATGCTAGAACAATTACAATGAAAGACTACAATCAATAGCACATACCCTATTTTGAGAAATGTCATCAAGTTTCTTCAAGGCTGAAAAGAAGCAACCATAGATATTGAGCATAAATTTGTGATAAACAGATGCATAAAAAGGGAGACCATATAACATTTTTTACAAGACACTAAGGCTAGGTACCAACCTCCTAAACACAAGATATTATGCTTACTAAGCCTAAGAGTAAGAAAAGAATTTAGGACAAGTGAGGTTTTAATATTTCCTGCTGCAACAATAGCGGAAGGCCTCATTACCCATTAAATCTCTTTGGGATACCTTAAATGCAATTCACACACAAAATGAACAGGCAAAAATTTCTTCTTCCATTCACAATAAGATTTGTTCTGAATTTGCAATATACTTACAGTGGGTTTCCCCTTTGTGGGCTTCTCCAACTCCTGATTTGCAAACTGACTTGCAAATATTGGACATTATATTGGATTTCTCAATGGATGCTCTTATTTCTTCAAACAAATCAACCTCAGTGCTTTGGTTGCTGTCCAAAGAGAAGTCATCACTATCTAATGTAGATTCTCTGTGTGCATATCTCCACATACACAGATCTTCTTGAGTTACGGGTAATAGGTCAGCTTCAACCTTCTCAAATCCTTTATTTATAATAAACAACTCTTCTGGATCTAGAAGTCCTGATCATGCATGAAGATTAATGAGTTTGAATTTTAACTTGCTCTAACCATATGAAATGAGTTAACATTGGCAGAAGGCACCAAATATTTCAGATTTCTTGTAAAAGCATACCTGCACTGGTGAAAAAAGCAGTATCCCAATCTAAACTTTTGCGCAAGTTGCTTGCTCTTCCCAACTCAGTGGATTCATGAAATAAGACCTTTTGCTCCCTTTGCTCGAGTTTTTCAACTGCATTTTCAGGTTCACGAGAATCTGTGGTCCCAAACTATAGCGATCCCGGGTTTATCCTTATTGTATAGTGATCCGGACATGTGTCCGTGGATGTTGGTAGTTGATTAGTATCTTGTTTACATCCTTTTTACTACGTATTTGAGTTATAGGATGTGTTGGGCAGATTTGTTTCAGGTTGGTTGAGTTTAGAAACCAAAACTAGTTGCCCAGATTTTTGGCCTGTACGCTCGAGCGGAGGTGTTGGCGCTCGAGCGGGTAATACACCCATCCAGTATTTGTTGTGCAGTGTTGTACGCTCGAGCGTAGGGTTGGGAGCTCGAGCGGAGGTCTGGTTCTGCAAAAGTGCTGAGCGAGTGCATTCTGCGCTCGAGCGGGAGGTTGGCCGCTCGAGCGGAAGTCTGTGAGTGGCCGCTCGAGCGGGGTGTTTTACGCTCGAGCGGAGACCTGGGTTAAAGTCCCGAATTTGTGACTCTTTAAATCACTTTTTCACTTTCTCTTCTCTCTCTTACTTTTCCAAAAACACCATTCTTTGAGTCGAATTTTCTCTATGAAAATGTTGAGGGACCTTAGCTAATAAAAAAAAAATATTTTGTTTCTCTCATGTTTTACAAAGTTGGGAGGGATGTTTCATTAATTTTTTATTTTTTATTATCTTTAATCATAGTATGTCAAAATTTTTTACTTTTTTGGTCCGTCTTGAAGAGAAGAATCTAAAAAGTATATTAAAAAAAAAAATTGAAATAGCCAAAATAAGGCAAAAAAAAAAAAAAAAAATATTTTTTC